GCCAACTCCTTTAGCCCCTGCACTTCAAATGTCCTTCAACCTCCTAAAAACTCATTTTTCTTTTAAATGCCACAAGTCCTCACTGAGGGGGGTCTCTTGGTGACTCCACACCAAGTTATTTAGTACTCTAGAGGGGCTACTCCCAAACTGTAGGAATTCCAGTGATGTTATATAGAAGACAGCCTGGGACACTTCAGCTATCAGCATTAGATCTGGCTGCTCATCCCTGCTCCTTGGGGCCTCTCTGTATCCTGCAGCCAATCTCCTCTTTTTCTGGGCTGTTAGTGTGGACCTAACATTGCTCTTTGCAGAGCACATCCTTCTCCTCTTTTCAACTCATTCCAGCTCCCTGTTGGCCACAGGGTTCCCAGCTCTCAACCACACATTTTAACAATAGCTGGAAACTGGAGTCCTGCAGGGAACATTTTATTTTAGCAGAGTACATTTTTCTTCCTGTTAGATAAAATATCTCCTGGGAAAAGAACCTAACAGTTTCTGATTCAACCTTTATTTAACATTGAGGAATCTGTATGAAGATGATACTTTACAGGTCATTCAGACTAAGATTTGAGGCATAAATTACAGGTCCTCAGGCTTCCCTGCAATGACATTCTGAGCCCAAACCACAGAGAAGGACAGACCTGGTGGAATTTCCAGGAAGCCTCACTAGTCTCCACAGAAATCACCAAATCTCTTCTTGCTCAGGAGACCCTGCTCCATAACCTCCCCAGCACTTCAAGGGGCTCAGAGCCAGCCTCTCTGAACAAATGGAGAAGCTATTACAGCAACAAATAGTCACTTTCTCCTGATGAACCTACTTGGTCTTCAGTGTCAGCTGCTAATTGAGCTGATTAAAACCAGGCAGAGGTCTTTATCTGAGCATGAGCTGAAGACATAGCAGGGAAAGCAGAGATACCAGTCAGAACAGCTCCCTTGCAAGACTAATTTTAGTGACATGTGTTGATGGCTCTTCCACAGGAGATAGTGTAAGAGCAGGGTGATAGTTTTTTAAACCCCAAGTCAAACACAGCGTCTGATTCTGGTCCAACCCAAAACATTTTAATTCCTCTTTCACCTAAGGGTCCAAGACCATTGGATAGGGCTGTCTGCTTAATAACATCACCACCTTTGTGCTTAGGATGAGATACAAGCACTCACCACATCAGAGCCCATGACTGGAGTGAGGGCACAGCATTACTCATGCCCTACTCTTCCTGAGGAATCCTCCCACACCATATGAACTTAGTGTTTTCTTATTGCATGCAGCTGAAGTTTCATCTCTTTCATGCTGTTTTTTCCCCTAAATTATTATTTACAATAGAATTCTATTTAAAATAGAATATGGGCTAAAGTTTCCCTATTATTTTTTGTTCTTTCAGTGAGAACTATTGCTATACAGGCATACAGGCTCACACGAGACCCACTCTGCTCCAAGCCAGCCCGGAGAACAAAACCAGAAATTCCTGGAGCCAAGCCAAACAGGAACACTCTCCAATTTCAAATTCTGGGCTCAATTTGAAAAACAAGGTTAAAAACCAAAGGCAGGATCAAGGCAGGTGAAGTTTAACTCTCACAGTGCCCCCATTTCACCAGTGAGCACCTACAGCACAAGGTTTAATTCTCTTTCTTGTGGATGTGTTGTCATAAATAATGGGAATGTTCAATATTTACATGCCAAATTCACTGTGCACACCATTCAAACTAAACCACATCCTTGGACAATAAGTTCCAAAATGAAACAAAATCTGAACTGAGATGATGGTGATGATAATGATGATTATCATCATCATCATCTTTTTATGGGATCTCCTCCCCCTCCTGTTCATGTCATGGGGAAACAAGCAGAGCATTAGGAACAGATGAGGTGGCCAAGCCAGTGCTGCTTGACCCCAAATGCAGTTTCCAGATCTAATCACTAAACCACAGAGGATGTCTAGCTAGGAATGTTTAGTTTACGAGTCAGAACAGAGCCTGCCAGCATCGACAGCCCATCCACTGGGTCTATCTGTACCATTCATACATTATTCATCTGGACTTTGCACGACACAGGCCTTGAAATCAGAGCCCGGAGGCCAGAAGGGGTGAAAAGGCAAGGCTGCTAAATGGTAAAGCACTTCCACACCCTGCTTTGCTTTCCCGAGTTCCTGCCCTGAGGGTGCCTCTCTCAGCTGCCAGCCCAGGTGCATTTGCATGGTCCAGTGGAGACTGCTGCTTATCTGCACCTGGCTTTGGGTGGTGCCTTTATCGTGGAATCATAGAACCACTCAGGTTGGAAAAAAACCTCTAGGGTCATCAAATCCAGCCACTAAACCACCAAACCACTTCCCAAAGTGCCACATCCACATGACTTTTCCAGGGAGGGTGAACCAGGCCCTGAGCTGCTGGGTCCTCTCGCCCTGCAACAGCAGAGACCCAAAGAAGCCATAAAACACCCATGTGAGCCCCAGTGTCACAGCTCTGGTAGTTAACAGTAGTTAACCAGTAGTTCAACTCTTAACAGCAATTTTCTCCAAGCTATTCCTTAACTTTATTCCTAGCACCAAAATATGAGACTGGAGTGTGTCCAGGACATAAAAGTCCATTTGAGAAGTGGACACTTGTTAAGATCGTTCAAGTACAGATTTAAAAACTCTTCAAAGCCCATGGCCGTCCTGGCAACTCCTGTTCATGTGAACATAAACCTCTGATTCTATCCAAAGCCAAGTGGCTGCCTCCCTCCATCCCTTCTGCTCCTGGAACACACCGTGGCCTGTGGGGGAACAGAGCTATTTTGGCTGCCAGGCACCTTAATAATTCCTTGTGCTTGTTCTGAGAAAAACCATCTCCATCCATCACTGCTTGATGGAGTTGATATGTGTGAAAGATCAAGCAGGTTCCAGCACCAGGACTCACTCCATAAAGAGCAGGGTCCTGCCAGCATTGTCACCTTGTGCTTATCTATAAAACATTCAACTTCCAGCAAGTTCCCACGGTAGGCAAGAAACATGAGACTTCCCTCACCCACAATCGAGCACAGCTTAAACACGTTCCCTCCCCGCCCTACCAGGTAACACTGCCTGTGTAGCTCCACCTGCTGCAAACCACTCGGGACCAGATTAAAAATCCCATTTTTCTCCTCTGCAGAGCTGTCACCACGGCCACAGGGCACCTGTGGGCCCTCAAGCAGCCATCAACAAAGAGTGTGTTAAAGCTCCATACCCCAAAAATATAAGAACCTTACAACTCCCTCCTCATTAACAGGCCAACCTATATTTAAACAGGAGAATTAATGCTAGAATGAGTAACCAGGGTCCTCCCTCTACAACGCAAGCTTACATCTGTACATTATTAACAAACCACCAATATTCCACAAATCAAACAAGCAGAGTATTAAACATTTTGTTAACCCGACAGAGGAGCATCCGCTAAGAAAGATTAAAACCTGTAAAAGGAACTAGGCAAACCCATCAAGGCCCGACTGTTTGCCAAAAACATAGCCTTCAGCAGACCCAAAACAAGCATTGAAGGTGATGCCTGCCCAGTGACTCACGTTCAAGGGCCGCGGTGTCCTAACGGTGCAATCAATTGTGCCATAAATAGAGACTGGTATGAATGGCTAAACGAGGTCTGAACTGTCTCTTACAGGCAATTGGTGAAATTGATCTCCCTGTACAAAAGCAGGGATAGCCACATAAGACAAGACGACCCTGTGAGCAGCACTGACAAGCCCTGCTCGGTCCCAGCTGCTGTGGGGAGGAGCTGTGCCTGTGCAGCCCAGGGAGAGCTCTGGGCTGAAGCACTCAGCATCCCAGCTCTGGTTGTTCACCCTGCTGGGACAGCACAGTGACACTCTGCTCTCTGACTGCAGCCTGGGCTAGGGAAAAGGGCTTTGAGACTGGGCATCCAGACAGGAAACATTTTTTTCTTGTTGTAGGTAAGAGACAACAACCAGAATAAAATCCAACCCTCCTGGTACCTCAGAATTTCACAATGGTTCAGACATGATCAAATGAATTATTTCCCAAGGGCAGATTTACTGCACAAGTATATAATGTTCTGTTTTGCTCAGATGCCAAACTCATCCACATCTCTCCTCGTTGGACTGTCCCTCTTCAGAGAGCACAGCACCACACACTGGCCCAAGGGACTCTGATTTCGTACCCCAGATAAGGATTTTGAAGCCTGTCCAAGTTTAATCACAGCTCAAGCTCTTGAATAAATATTTCAGCGACAAAACAGAATTGTTAAACCCTTTGCTACGAACTACCGTGTTGAAAAAAAAAATTTCCATCATCCACAAACCTCAATTTTCCTACCTGCAAAAGAAGGATGACAGGCTCTTGACTCCCTGGGTGTTTCTAGGATTAGACAATGTCTGCTCAACGTTAATGTAGATGATGGTATTTTTTGTTATTGCTTCTGTCACATTACAGAGAGGTCAGGGAACATACTCCACGAGTCAGAGCCTTTCCACAGCATTAGTGTAGCCCTCAGAGCTTAGAGATCTGTATTTGGATAAAGCCACCACAACCGCCTCTTTAAAGATCCCAATGTACGTCAGAGGTGACAGCCCTTTCCTGTCACCACCTCATCTCTGTGTTTAGGATAAGCACCACTTGGAAGATGATACTGAAATTAAAGCAGGGAAAGAAAACAAAGAAAAACCACACATACTGGGAGTACAGGGGGTGGGGTGGGTGGGGTGTGGTAGAAAAAGAGTAAAAATACAGGAAAATCCTTTCAGAAAAACTCAGGCTGTTAGTGAGCATCTAGCCAGAGCCAGAGGGCAGGGAGAGATTATGTAAAAATGAATGTAGGGAAAAATGAGTCTCCCAGCTTTCCTTCTCCAGTTAGTTCTGCAGGAACCTCTTGCCAGCCCAGCAACTCATGTAAAACAGCACATTTCCAAACCTCTTTCACAAACAAAGCATTTGGAAATATTGAGGATATTGTACAACCTCCAACAAATATACAGACTTTTTCTGGGAAAAGCATTGATTCATTGATCTTGAAATTCTTACCTGGAAAACTCTTGCACTCCATGAACTGAAGATGGGGCCGTAGCCCTGATTCCTGGCACCCTGTCCCCTGGCTGGAGACATTTTCCTCGGCTCACCAGCCAGCTGGGAGGTCTGCTGCCTTGTGATGCTGCCTTGAGAGCCCTGCTAACCCAGATTCTCTGAGCTCTCTGCCACAGAGCTCAAAGTGAGCCAGCCTAAAGTCCTGAAAATGCTGACTTTGAACCAATCAAACTGCAGGTGGCAGGAAATTCCAACACACCAGAAGCAGGGTCAGGCCAGGCAAAAATCTCATCTGAGGCTTTTCTCTCTCCTCACCCTTGGCTTTGAATACTCCATCTCTGCATCCCTTATCTCTTACTTTGCAACACAGATGCCCTGTCTCCACTGCCTCCTCTACCACAATAGATTTAGCTGCAAACACCCTGTATCCTCCAGCTCGTACCACTGATCCCCAAATTCCTACCATTCTTCTTCCTGTACCATCCTTCCCTTTTCCACACCCTCTCCTTTTCACCACACCACTTTCACTGCTGATCAACATCCCAAGTCGCAGACACCCTAAATCACAGACACCCCAAGCCTATTGCACACTGAGCACCTATCTAAAGTTCTTCTCTCTGCAGATTTTCAGTTCTTTCAGCCTGTGGCAGCTGGTTCAAGATGACCCACTGCTGGCCAACCACCCCACCCCTGTGCTGGTCAGGAGGGCAACATCAAGGCATGCCAGGATGCCAGTTCTGTGCCTAGGGCACAGGAGGGTTTGAGGAACAATGTGTTCAACACAACAGGCACAAAACATTGCACTGTGGTCTGTGTGTTGCAGGGTCTGTGCTCCACTTGGAGCTTCCAGACTGCTGTTCAAGGAAATTGCCATCAATGTCAGCCTCACCACCACTATTAGACATCTCATCCATGTCCAGGCCCAGCTTGAACCCATTTAACTTGTAACGGATAATGAGATAACAGCATGACATGCAGCAGCTGAAGATTATTTAAACACCCATCTGGTACCTGTTATGCAGCATACATCCTATGGTTGTATAGGAAATATATGCCACCTCCCTCCCACATGGAAAGGAGAAGATCTATAGATGTATCTTATGCTACCCCTTCTTTTTTCAGATGAGGTAATTCTCCTTCTCTGTGCTGTTTCTGGCATATCACTCTGCATTTCCCGTCTGTGGTTTGGGAGATGCAGTCCCTTCCAAGCTGTTGAGACCTTGTGAAAACACACAAAAGCATCATAAAAAATTTGCTCAGGACATCTCACCCTCTTCATACATCAGTCAGAAAAGACTGCTATGAAACTGATTCAGCCTTTGCAAGACACAACGTGGCACTACCCTTTATCCTGGAGAGATTCAGAGGTGACAGTCCACGTCTGTTTGTTGGACCACGCTGATTCTACAGGGGAATGGTGAAATACCTGCTGAAGCCTGAGAGGTGAGTAAGGCAACCAGCTCACACTGTACTAAAATAAATAAAAGGCAACATGTCCACTGTAATCAGATGGACAGACGAGAATCTGCAGATCCCAGCTAACAGCTTGATTTCTTTATCCAAACCCTCCACCTTCCCTTGCAGGATGACTTTGGCTGTTTTGCGGGAATGACTCTCATAGCTCTGGCTCTGTGTCATCCCTCAGCAGCCGCGGGCCGGGTTGCTGTGTATCCCAAGAAATCACGTTTCACAACACCAGTTGTCAGCTCTGCAGATGGGCGTCCACACTTCTCTGTTTTTCTCAAACATGACTCAGTTCTCTGCAGAAGCTGTTCTGGCATGGACCAAACCCTGTGTCTGATGCCCCATCTAGTGTTCAGCACGGACAGATGCACAGGAAGACTGGAGAACTCCCAGCATTTCCAGCGGTATTAAACCACCTTTATAAAATGTATTTGTCTCCAAGAGAGCTCGAAGACAGCCCAGGCGACATGGAATCCTGCATATGCCACTGCCAGTTCTGGACTCTGGGTGTCCAAGTGGAGGTAGCAGCAGGAAAGCCCTGCAAACCCAGCTCCTTCTTTGTTTAGCAGCACACCCCAGGGCTTGGAGGACACCTGGGCAAACCCAGGAATGAAACCCCATTTCAGCCTTGGAATGGGGAACCGAGGGTCTGAGCTGTGCCCCCTCAAGGCTCGATGGCAGCCTGGATTCTCCTGCAGGGAACAAGGGCGCTTCCCGGCTGCTCGGCAGTCGGCAGCACTGGGCACCCCTGTCAAGGCAGTCGCCAAATCCTGAGCAGGTATTTTGGATACCAAATAACTCTGCTCAGCGTTTCTCCAATGAGATTTTAAAAATAAAATGGGAATTGATGAAAAGTGCGTTTCACTTTTTTTTTTAATGGGAAAAAAGTGTCTGCTGTGAAAACAAACCCTTTTCTGCTGTCTGTCCTTTGCAAACACGGGGGGAGGGGTTTTGGTTTTTCGTTTTGTTTTGGGTTTTTTTTGTATTTTGTTGGGGGTTTTTTTTGTTTTTGTTTTTTGTGGTGGGGAGATAGTGAAGTTGTCAAGGAAAAAAAAATGTGCTCGGAGAACTTGGCTTTATACAGCAGCTTTCTGACACTTTCAGCGATGCGAATTGCAGAGCCCTAAGCACTGCTACGGAAATCCTCGGGCTGTGTAACGTTGTGTGCACAACCACTCGCAATTAAACCCAAAACAAGCATCTCTGTATTCTCCGTTAATCACCATGTGGGGTTTTTGTGTTTTGTTGGTTTTTTGTTTTTGGTGGTGGGGAGATAGTGAAGTTGTCAAGACCAAAAAAAAAAAAAAAAAAATCCGACAAAAAAAGCCGCAATTCAAAAAAAAATCTTCTCATCAACGGCTGAACCGAGAGCCATAACGTGTGGTGGGGAGATAGTGAAGTTGTCAAGGAAAAAAAAATGTGCTCGGAGAACTTGGCTTTATACAGCAGCTTTCTGACACTTTCAGCGATGCGAATTGCAGAGCCCTAAGCACTGCTACGGAAATCCTCGGGCTGTGTAACGTTGTGTGCACAACCACTCGCAATTAAACCCAAAACAAGCATCTCTGTATTCTCCGTTAATCACCAGCCCAATTAGCACCTTGGTTAAGACGCTGAGAGGTTCCAGTCCTCCTCCCATCAGAGCCGGGGTTGTTCTGGTGAAACTCTCACTGTGCCTATGCAGTGCTGGGTTCACAACGCTCTGCTCTCCTGGAGCAGCGTGATAAGTCTGTTAACTCATTAACACCTCCAGCTTACGGGAGACTTGGCTTCCAGCCCCTTCGGCAGCTCCACGCTCCAGGAAGTTTTTCTGCACTTTCTGTTTTGGTTTCTTTTCCTGCTGAGCCGGGCTGGCTGGCAGCTCCCGCCATGAAGCTGCTGAAGGCTGCAGTAATCTTTGCTCTTGTGCCCACTCTGGCGCCGGCTTTTGACCCTCTCAGCATTTCCGTGGTTGCGGGGAGCGCTGTCATGGCTTGGCATCTCCTGTCCTCCGACTCGTGGCTCAAGTGCCGCTTCCAGGAGTGCTGCAGGAGGAATGCCACTGTGAACTTCAAAGGTAAGGGCAAGGGGGACAAGCTGGTGTTCCGTCTCAGGGTGCTCAGAGCTCCCTTTGGTGGGCTTGTGGAAGATAAAGGTCACCACCCACAGCGGCTCTGCAAGGCAGAGGTCTCGTATGTCTCTATAATCTACAAAGCAGGCTAACCTTATTCCTTATCCCACAAGAAGCTGTGTGTCTTGCTTCTCTGAGCGGCACCGGAGCGTTTTCCTTGCTGATTTCTCGGTTTGTGTTGGCAGAAACGGCTGTGCTGGTGTAGCTGTGCTGGTGTATGGCAAACACCACTGATACACCTTATTAATGTATAAATATCTAAATATCCACGAAGGTGGATCAGGCTCTTCCTGGTGGTGCCAATGACACGAATCGACAGGCAGGGAACACGGCCTGGGAAAACACTGAAACTTTACATTTTGGTAAGCTAACTCTTGATATGCCTCAATGAACAAAGCCTGAGAGACAAATATGTGTTGTTGAGGGTGAACACCTGAAATGTAGAGATTATGGACCACAAGGACATTTTGTAGAAACTATTTTGTCGGAGACTAGCACAGACTCCATTTCTGCATTGTAAAGTCCCTATCGGAGGATAAAGACACTAAAAAGACCAAAATTATGGCCTAATTAGCATAAGAAGCGAGAAATCAATAGCCAATAGAAGGTAGAGTAGTAACCAATGAAAGCGAATGATGTAATTTAGAACCGATGAGCAGTAATTTCTTTGCTTGTTAACAAGGTATAAATAAGTAAAAAAAACTTTGCGTCTGTGTGGAGGCTGCAACTTGGCCGGCCTGGCCAGACTAAAGTAACAGCTAGAGAGCCGGAATGGGAGGTTTAATGTCCCGGCGGAGCTGGCGGCAGGTGACGGGGCTCGGGAGCTCTGCCCGGCACAAAGATGGCGGCGTCCCCTCACGGGGCGGGGGCGCGCGGGCGCGCAGGCGCGGCGGGCGCGCTGTGTCACGGCCATGGAGTACCTCATCGGCATCCAGGGCCCCGACTACGTCCTGGTGGCCGCGGACACCGTGGCGGCCACCAGCATCATCCAGATGAAGCACGGTGAGACCCCGCCAGGCGCCGGGGCGCCGCGCTGGGCCGGGGCCCGGGAGGGTGCCGCGGGGCCGCGGTGTGCGCGGCTCG